GATTAAAATAAACAAATTATAACATAGATGTTACAACAAGGGGTAGGGTCTACAAAGTACTGGGGCTGTTAACTGTGGCGCGGGCCTTAGAATCATAGAATCAACCTGGTTGGAAGAGAACTCAAAGATCGAGTCCAGCCCTACCGCTGTTACTAGACCATGGCACTAAGTGCCACATCCAGTCTCGTCTTGAAAACCTCCAGGGATGGTGAATCCACCACCTCCCCGGGCAGCACATTCCAATGCCTGATCACTCTCTCCATAAAAAAATCTTCCTAATATCCAATCTAAACCTCCCCTGGCAGAGCTTGAGTCTGTGCCCTCTTGTCCTACTGCTGGTTGCCTGCGAGAAGAGACCAACCCCCACCTGACTCCATCCTCCTGTCAGGGAGTTGCAGAGGGTGATAAGGTCTCCCCTGAGCCTCCTCTTCTCCAGGCTAAACAATCCCAGCTCCCTCAGCTTCTCCTCATAGCACTTATGCTCGAGTCCCTTCACCAGCCTCGTTGCTCTTCTCTGGACCTGCTCCAGCACCTCAGTATCCTTCTTGAACTGAGGGGCCCAGAACTGCACGTAGTACTCAAGGTGTGGCCTCACCAGTGCCGAGTACAGGGGCAGCATCACCTCCACGCCGTTCCTGATCCAGGCCAGGATGCCATTGGCCTTCTCGGCCACCTGAGCACACTGCTGGCTCATGTTTAGCTTCCTGGTCTCCGAACTCCCAGGTCCCTTTCTGCCTGGTGCGTTCCAGCCGCTCTGTCCCCAGCCTGAAGCGCTGCATGGGATTGGTGTGGCCAAAGTGCAGGCAATATATGTACAATGTCCACAGATGTAAATAGCACCCTGGAAACCGGAGTATGGGCAGTCCTTTCCTGACGGGATTTAGACAGTCCCAGGATTTGCAGCAGTTTGTAATTCCCTTGAAACCATTTCGCGTGCGTGCCAAGGGGGAAGTTGAATAATTTGATGTCTGTCTCATTCGTCATTTCTTGGATCTGGGTTTGAAGATGTTGGTATTTCTCGACTTTCTCTTTTGCCACTTCCTCCAAGGTGAAATCTTTACCCTCATATCTCATGGTGATGTTGACCACTAATGCTTGGTTCTCCTTAACGAAAACCAGGCCCGGCTTATACAAGTGATTTTGGTCATCCTGGGTGTTTGGTTCTTGGATGACCACCCAGTCCTTTTTCTGCGCTTCCTCTGATAGAATTTGGCACAGCTGGTTGTGTCTCTTGATGTGGGCCTCCTGGACTGCAGGACAGTACCTGATGATGCGGGCACTGGATTCGGTGTCAGCCTGGCAGTGTCTGCAGGATCGGATATAGCCTTGTCTGCCCCTTGCCAGGAACTCTCGATGGGGGTAGACGTTAGCTCTGAGTTGGAGCACAGTGATGATCTTCCTGTGGGGTATGCTGCGGTGGTGTTGAAGCCAGTAATTACTGATCTCATCCTTCTCGAAGTTGGACATGCCATGGCCCTGGGAAATTAATTTCTTCCAGTTGTTGAATTCCATCTTTCTCCAGTTGCAAGGCCTTGGAAAGATGATCTTTGGAGCGGATACCTCCCATTCCGATCCTGGTTCCTCCTCACCCCGGTCGGAGAAAACTAGAACTGTTTTAAGGTCCCAGGTAGATGGAATCTTTATCACCTCCTGCTTTTAACCATAATTTCCTATATTCTTTCTCAATGCCGCCTTCTTTCAGCATAGCCTTGATGGTATCGTAGGAGGACTGTGCATGTCTGTGCAGCCTCCAGGCTTGCACACTGGCTATGAGCCCCACCAGCCTAGTGATCCCTAGCCCGATGTCTCTCGTGCTGGAATATAGAGACTGTCACAGGTGCACAGTGGTAGGTGCAGCCACTCCTTGACGGCAGTTCTTATTTGTCCATCAAGTGTGGAAGACGGGAGAAATGCCCACCCTCTTGGTCCAGCATAACTCGTTTATTGAAACATTGGTAACAGGTTATATAGAAACGATAATGAGACATACATATTGCAAAAGCGGAGCTCATCATTGGTTACCCGCTCCAGGCCGGTGCAGCCCCTTGTTTTTCCCCTTATCCCAGACATTGTGGAGTCCCCGTTTCTATTTTTAGCAACGAAACCAGACAGACCCCGTCTCTATCCCCTGTTGTTGTTCACTTCTTGCCGAAAACCGTGGCCTCCGCCCTTGTTTTTGTCTTAGTGGAAAATCACTGCTTTACCAGTTGCAGCTGACCATGGCCTCTCTCTGCCAGCCATGCTTGAACAAAACCCTCAACAATCAAGGGACTCGAGGAATCCCACCTTCATGTCCACCTGATCTGCCAAATATATTATTCTGGGAATTATATAACCTTTCAG